ATTACTGTAATGCCCTGCTGGCTGGACGTTCCAGCCAAAGCCTTAACAAGCTACAGTTACATCAGGGAGGAGAGCCTTTTCATACAAAGCCCCCCAGCTTTGGAATTATCTTCCAGTCATTTTTCGGGACTCAGACACAGCCTCAGTCTTTAAGTCTAGGCGAAAAAACTTTGTTTAGTCAAGCCTTTGGTAATGAGTTTTCCCTGTCAGATAAAAGGTGCAGATCTGGGGGTTCATGCTCATAGAGTATTATGGTTAACTGGGAGTGTTGATGCTGTCGTCCCGCTGCTCTCACATGTTCACTCAAGTCTGACGGTGGAGCGGAGGGGCGCAGACATCTCAGGGAGCCCTCATGTCTCTGTTACCTTATGATTTCTCCCTTTAAGTTAGGCTATAATAGCTAGACCTGCCAGAGTCTCTGCCTCTCTGTTAATACTGTAATCTGTGATCAGTCACTCATTACAGAACTAACTCTGTGTTTTCCTTTCTTTGACGAGTTGAACAGCTGCCCATCCTGTTGCTTCTTCTGCCTTGATCGGGTGCCCACTGCTCGCCAGCCTTCTGGACCAGCTTGACCACCATTGACCTTCATGCTGTACAATGCTGTGCAAACCTCACCCTCATGAACTGACCCTCCCAATGATGCTGCTGCATAAACTAAAACTAATCCTTTCAACCATTGCTCCACCTGTTTTCCCCCTTTTGTATTATACTATTTTACACTAACGCTGTTTGCTATCCAGTGTCAACCAGAGGAGGAGGGGTTCCCCTTTTGAGTCTTAGTTTCTTTCAGTGTTTCTTCTTCCTGCTCTTAGGGAGTTGGCTCACTGGCTTCCTCATGGGGACCTGTTGTAAAAAGCACTATAGAAATAAACTTGCTTGCTTGCATTTTGCCAAAACCTGCTAAGGTGCTTAAATACTGGCTAAATCAATTGAACCCAGGCTTCCAGGTATGGGAGGCCAAATTGTTACCGGTTGAACCATCAGCCATGGGCAGAGGTGGACCTCAATGGCAGAACACAAGGGCAGATGGCAGAGAAAAAAAAAAACCAAAATGAATAGTATAACTGAACAAAGTCTAGAAATGAATGAGAAACTTTAACTGAAACTATGAGATGAGAAACCAAGAAACTCCCCACACTGGGATTGAACTGTGGCCTAAAGGGTGACTGGCCAGTGTAGAACCAACTGAACTACACCATCACTCAGAAACAAAACCAAAAGTGGGGCTAGCCAAAGGCTCAAGAAAGGAAGGGGAAAAGGGGGAATAACTAAAATCTGTTTCTTTTACTATATTCTCCTTTGTCTTATTTTATTCATCAAGTTCCTCCTTTTTTTAATACTTACAGTTGTTACAAGTGACTCGAGAGCAAGACTTAGAGGGATCAGGAGCAAACGCAGAGACTTGAGAGCAATTACCCAAATACAGGCTGGATCAAGAGATGGATGCACATGGCATGCAAACACATGACTAAAGCATAGAACAAACAAAGAGCCACTCTTAAGTAGAGCCAAACACAGGTGTGACCAGTTGTCTCTAATTACCTAGAGGTGGCTCTCTGCTCCCATCTAGTGGTGGGTCTGACCACAGGATGGGTGACAGGGTTCTTGCCAGTGGCAGACTGAGACTGACCTGTCACAAATTGATCAATTTCACATATTTGTAATTCATTGCTTTATTATTAAATTAATGCTTTTAGATATTAATTTTCAATCCTTGATATAATTGTCTGAATATTACCCAAATTCCCATATTACCCAAATTCATATGAAGGTTGTCCCTCTTTGCGATCCCCTTGATGAAGTGTGTTTTAAAGTGGTCTTTCTCTAAAACTCAGGTTGGTCTAACTGGTCTCTCTTTAAGTAAGGTTGTTGTATCTGGTCAGTAAGTGGTTTCTCTCTAGGCATGTTATGCCAACCTGACTATAGAGACCAGTTACAGATCAGTTACACCAACCTGACTATAGAGAGAGACCAGTTACAGATCAGTTACACCAACCTGACTATAGTCAGCCAGAAGGAGAACACACAGCAACACCAGACATTGCAGCCAGTTTGTTGAATCTGTGTAGATCACCCTGCTCCTTGTTTTTTCATACTTTGTCACAAAAGAGCAGCAGCCAAATATACTGTATGTTTTTGTATCAAATATATTGTATGTTTTTCTGTTAGGATTATCATAATGCATATCTTCAATATAGTCACTAGAGATCTGAGGTGTTGCACATGCACATATGCCCAGTTCACTAATAGCTAACATGCATCAACACATACATATTCTACTAACAAATCTGGTGTGTGTGAATCTACAGAGAATATATGGTTCCTTTTCATTATGGTAAGTCACCCAAGTCCCTAGCAACAAAGCATTCCCACACCTTCACACTACCACCACCATGTTTGACTTTTGGTAAGATGTTTCATGCCAGAAGTAATGGGATGCGTGGACTCCAAAAAGTTTCTCATTTGACGCATCAGTCCACAGAACATTATTCCAAAAAGCTTGGAAGTCGTCAAGCTGTTTTAGGCAAATGTAAGACCAGCATTATGGTAACCACTTATAGTAAGGGTACACGATCTGAGAGTAATTAAGGGATTTACTAATAAATAATGAATCAGAAAGTAATTCAAGTCATTGATCAGGAACAAATGAATGTCATATTAACAGCCATATGATTCAATTACTCAGTATCAACTAATGCATGTACCAGCATATGAAGATGAAGGTAATAAAAGCTTTTCAATGTCTGAATTTATCAGGAATTATAGTGTTAATTAAGCATTTTGATGCCGCAAAATTCCCTTAAGCTTAACGTTCTGGAATATTCTGCTTATCCCAGTCATGTTTTTTGTCTGTAGTTCCATCCTCTCATGATCTTGTCCATCTGTGTAAGCAGCCATTGTATTTACCTGTGTCTTTATCTGTCAGGATTTCGGTTTATTGTTTTAGATTTCTTATGTTACCTTGTCTGGTTCTACCTACCTAGTGTCTGTGTTTATTTAATAAAATCAAAGACTTACCCTGACATCCTTTGTCTTAGAGATTAATACAGCATCAAAGGCTATTTTGTAACTTACATTGTGAGCATCAGATGTGGAAATATTACTCGGTTCCAGTTTATCTGTTACCTAAAATGTACTTATAAAATGATTCAGTTGTAAATGTACTGGTACACACAGACACGTGTAAATCAGGCTGAATTCGGGTAGGAGGTCTCTAAAGCTCTGCTTACCTTTTTACGCATTATTATTACAAAAACAGGAAGATATTCCTGCATGGCTTCTACTGGTTTGTCCAGCCTTACTTTTGGCCACTGTTCTCAGTTTATGAAATAAGCTTTTATTTTCCGTTCCACCTTAAATGGTGCTGCTGTAACATTCAGGCTCACTGAAGCAACAGAATGTAACTGCTGCACTGTTTAAGGTGGAATGGAAAATTCAAAAAAAGAAGCTGGTGAGAAGGAAGCCAAGTTTTTATTACCCAGATTAATTACAGTTTCCTGGTTTATCAAACACTTTCTTGTGGGGTTGTATATAACGATACTAAGATTGACAAGTGAATATATATTTCTCTTCTTCACCTCATCTGCTAACATAAAAGAAGCTATAAACTCACTACGTTTTTAGATAAAGCCTTTTCCAGGCTGTGTGTGCTGCTGGCCCCACCCTGACCGTGTGATCGACACGTTCGAAAGTCGAATGCAGTAGGGTGGCAATATATAACTGTAAGGAGGAGAGGTGCTGTTTCCTGTTTACATTTGAATTTTGTCCTCTTTCTAGCTTGGCTGTCTTTGACAATGCAATTTAAATGCATTATCGGAGTGAAATGCATAAAATATAAATTACACTGTATTTATTTTCAGTTTTCTCCCCAATGTAGACAAATCCAATTTCACCTCCTAGTTAGGACTCCCCCATTCACACGATAGCTCCAACCTGCAGTTCTGTTATGTCAGCTAACAGATGCATGCGCTGCAAAGCATCGTGCTGAATCATTGTGTGGGGGGGTATCCTGCCCACCGAGACAGCAAGGCCAATTGTGCTCAAGCGCAAGTTTGAGACATGTTTTACTGTTACAAATTAATGATTTGTTATAAGCGCTTACCAACCCAAATTCCCAAAAATAAACAAAGCGTTATGCATCTTTAATACGGTGATAGGAAACACAGTATCTCACAGAAAGCTCTAATTCTATGTGCTGGTATTTTGAAAACTTAGGTGCCTTTTCAGGGAAAAAGCCCACAGATACTATAGGGATAATTATTACTGCAATTACTGCCACCTACTGGTGAAGAAAAATATTTTTGCTAAGGAAATAGTTGAGTTTCATGGTGAGACGGTGGTAGGGTATCGTACACTTGGTAGTGGAGATTACAACAAAACATGTAATCACAGGTTTGTAACTAAATCATACTGTACTGCACTGCCTGATGGAAAATCTCATGTTAGCAAATCCTGTGACACATTACCTGAGTGCCGTTTTCTGTTCATTCATTACTAGAAAATGACAAGCACGTCTTCTATTTTAATGTTTTAATAGATGAAACTCGAGACTCTATGGCTGCTTGGCATTTAACTACTACAGCATTTACTGCCACCTACTGGTGAGGAAAAATACCTGTCATTGTTTGCTGAGGAAACATTTGAAGAGTTTCATTCTAAAAGTTGCATATAACAAGTTTTTGAAAAGAATCGCAGCTTAAATATGATGGAAAACATTGTTATTATAAAATACATGTTGTGTATATTCAGCATAAAAAAGCTGGTATATATAAAGATCAATAAACATGTTGCTGTACAGAAAGTACCACTTCAAAAGTTAACACCACGAGAAAACTGCAGTTTCTGCCATTCACTCTGTTTTCATCTTTTTCTCACAGATCCCAACTACAGGGTGAATACAGGGATAATCAGCCCAGGTTGATACACTATCAGATCCAGCACCTTTATAGCCAGTTATAGCACAGTCCTCATTTCCTCCATAATCATTGGGCTCCCCCTCAAACCAGAACCTGAAAGAACAATAATGAATGTCTTCACCATTTCACATCTAGACCTTCTCAGAATGGTAAAGATGAATCACGAGCAGAGTTCAGTTCAGTGGTCTCTTATCAGTGGTCAGTGCTGAGTCGTCCACCCATTTCCAGACCCCCTCTGTGTCACTGTCTGTCAGACCAATCCAAGCTTCAGTGCTGCCAAATTCTTTACTGATGAACTCCTGTAAATGTTGTAGGGAAATATAATTAACAATGATTCATTCTCACTCACTCATTCCTCTCTCTCTCTCTCTCTCACCTGTTCTTCTCTGCTGTTTATGATCAGCAGGTCTGCTCCTCTCTCTGTGCAGAACTGTCTGCTCTCAGTCCAGCTCTTCTTCTCAGTAGAGATGTAGTAAAGACTGGAGCTGAAGTAGATCCAGCCTTTTATAGAGCATAAACATTAGATAAACATTAGATGAACATAATAGTGAACACGAATTTATGATAAAGTACTGATTCATTCATGATCTTTCACAGATGATTCATTCTCTACTCTTTTCCATGACAGCTTTATCATTCAGTCTTTCTCCTCTTAAAACAGCTCATCAGCACTGTTAGAGGAGATAAATTACTAATTAGGATGGTTTGGGCCTGATGGGCTTCTGTTCTGCTGGTTTGATTCTTGTTCACATTTTTAGGTGCAAAACTCATTGAACTGGCTTGTAACCACATGTGGATAGTTTTGAAAGGACAGTGAAAATTTTATCATTTAATCATTTACATACCCAAAAATACAAGATGACCACATTACCAAATAAACCTGTCAAAAAACTATATGTAACAGCTGCTTCTGCACCAGAAAGTGTGGCTATGTTTGCTTACATAGAAGTTTGCTTCTACTACTCCTGGATATCCAGAACACAGATGCATATCATACATATAACTTCTCTTCAGTACAGAAACTCTCCTGCACAACACAAAAATGGCTTTTGTTTATGACGGGTGCAAATATGGGTAATAGGTCTGTGGGAGACAAAAAGAATAGTGCTTTTGTGGTACACTGTGCCAGATTCGAACCGCTGATCTATGTAAATGGTGATATTAGGAGATATGAAAACAGGTGGAGAAACCGCTTCAAGATACGGTGGGAAAATAATGGCAGCAAAGGGCAAACAAAGAAGATGCCAAAATGCAGCGTGTTCAAACAAAAGAGGCTATAAAAAACAAACACAGACTTTTTGTGCATGTAAGAACAGAGCACTGTGATTCAACGACATTTTAGAGCTGAGCTCCTGTCTGTTCCGCTCAGCTTTCTCTTTTGTGTTACTTTCAGGTCTTTTTTGCTTCCAACTGATTTCCTCTTTTCTTTGTCCTCAAAAGGCTTTTTTCCCCTTTTTTCTTTTCATTGCTTTTCTTTGCTCAAATACAAACCTCCGTCTAATGTACCGTACCATTCAACCCTCTACAAAGGTGCAATAGTGAAGTGTTGCTGGTGTGGGCTTTAAAGCTGAGCCCAGCAGGTGTGTCTGGTCAGTGCTGAAGGCTGATTAGCCCTGGGGATTCTGGGACTTGGAGTTTGTATTTTGAGTACAAAATTCTTTTACTGACCTATAAAGCCCTAAATGGCCTAACAGTACTACGGTGACTGGGAGTGTTGGTGCTGTCGTCCTGCTGCTCTCACGCCTTCACTGTAATACTAACACTGTTGAGCCCGGCCTGCCGGAGTCTCTGTTTCACTCTCTTAACACTGTATACTGTAATCAGTCTGTCTTAACAGAACTAACTGCCTGTGTGTCTCTCTGCCGAGCTGAACAGCTGCCCCTTCTGTGCACTCTGATGCTGTTGCTCCTTCTGTTGCCCACCGCTCGCCTGTTTCCCGGACCAGTCTGACCGCCATGGAGCTTCCTCCTGTACAACGCTGTGCAAACCTCACCTGCATGAACTGACCCTCCTGATGCTGCTGCTGCATTTCTTCTAATCATAGACATCACTACTCCTGCTTTTCCTTTCTTTCCGTATCTTATATTAACGGTCAAATCTCATTTTCTGCTGTTATTGATTGCTATTCGGAGTAGACCAGAGGAGGATGGGTTCCCCTTTTGAGTCTTCATTCCTTTCAAGGTTTCTTCCTCTTGCTCTTAGGGAGTTTTTCCTTGCCACTGTCACCACTGGCAACGCTCACTGGTGGCTTAGACTCAATTTTTTTTTCTGTAAAGCTGCTTTATGACAACACCTGTTGTAAAAAGTACTATATAAATAAACTTTGACTTGACTTCACTTGATCCATCTTTGACCCAGATCCATCAGCTCTTCCACTGCTCCGCCCTGGCCCCCTGCTGGTAACCAGTGGCACATGGTGACCCATTATATAAACTGTTTTGAAGGTGTTTTTTTTGCCACACATATGTTACAGATGTCTTCAGCTGTGTAACCATATGGGACCTTCATTGTTGTAATGTGCACATTTTCAGCAGGAGACAGTTCTGTACTGCAGGCAGGCCAGTCTAGCATCTGCACTCTCTGATTGCACACTGTTTGCTGCAGTCTTTGGTTGCTGCTGTAACATGCGAAATGTAAATAAAAACAAAATGTAATGATGTGCAGATCATTTGAACCCTATGTTTCATTGAATATACAGGTCAATACAATTTTGTTTTGTTTTGTTTTGTTTTTTGTTTTAATATTTGCCCATTTTGAACTTGATTCTAACAACACGTCAAAAAAGTTGGGATGGGAGCAACAAAAAGCTTGTATATTTATGTAATGCTAAAAAAAAATAAATAAATAAAATAAATAAAATAAATAAATAAATAAAAAACACACACCACACCTGTTAGCACCGGTTAATTGGCAACAGGTCAGTAACATGATTTCGTATAAAAGAGCATCGGAGAGAGGCTGAGTCTTTTAGAAGTAAAGGTGAGGAGGGGTTCACCACTCTGTGAAAGACTGCATGATCAAATAGTGCAACAATTCAAGAATAACGTTTCTCAATATAAAATAGGAAAAAAACCTTTGCTATTATCATCTACGGTACATAATAACATTAAAAGATTCAGAGATTCTTGAGAAATCTCTGTATGCAAGGGACAAGGCCAAAAACCAGTATATTCTGATCATGATCTTTGGGCTCTCAGGCAGCACTGCATTAAAAACAGACATGATTCTGTACTGGAAATCACTGCATGAACTCAAACACAAACTCAAAATCACTGTCTGTGAAAACAGTTTGTCGCTGCATCCACAAATGCAAGTTAAAACTCTAAAACATGAAGAAACTGTACATAAACAGGATCAAGGAATGCTGTCATCTTCTCTGGGCCCAAGCTCATTTAAAATGCACTGAGGGGAAGTGGTAAAGTGTCCTGTGGTCCAACGAATCAACATCTGAAATTCTGTTTTGGAAATCATGGACGCTGTGTCCTCCAGGCTAAAGACCACTCAGCTTGTTATCAGTGCACAGTTCAAAAGCCAGTATTCATGATGGTATAGGGAGGCATTAGTGCACATGGCATGGGTGATGTGCACATCTGTGAAGGCACCATTAGTGCTGAATGATATATGCATGTTTTGGCAACATATGCTGCCATGCAAACGACGTCATTTTCAGGGAAGGACTTTATAAAGATTAAAGGATTATTTCAGCAGGACAATGTCAAACCACATTCTGCATGTATTACAACAGCTTTGCTCCATATTAAAAGAGTCCAGGTGCTAAACTGGCCTGCCTGCAGTCCAGATCTGTCGCCACTGAAAAATTAGGTGCATTATGAAATGAAAAATGACAAATGAGCCCCGGAACTGTTGAGCAGCTGAAATCCTATATCATACAAGAACAGGAAAACATATCACTTTCAAAACTACAGCAGTGTCTCCTCAGTTCCCAAACGCTTACAGAGTGTTGTTAAAAGAAGAAATGATGAAACACAGTGGTAAACATGCCCCCATCCAAAATGAATATATTTTTTTCAAAAAACAAAACATCTCAGTTTCAACATTTGACATGTCGTCTTTGTAGAATATTCCATTAAAAATATGGTTTACATGATTTGTACATCATTGCATTCTATTTTTGATTACATTCTGCACTGTGTCCCAACTTTTTTTGGAAATGGGTTGTAAATGACACCCTGGTAATCCCTGTCTAAGGATCATTCTTTTTAAACTGTTGGAGTTTTTGCTGATGGATTTTTGGGAAAGTGGCAAGCTTCAACACACCCTTGATCATAAAGGACCAGACCTCTTCTGGATGCTCCTTTCATACCCAAACATGATTGCCTCACCTGTTTAAGATATTGTTCAAACATTTTACAATGTTCCTAGTCTTACACTGGTCCTGTTCCAGTTTTTTGGAATGTGTTACAAGCATTACAGGCATTCACATAACATACTGCTTTGTTCAAATAGAAGTCAAAAAAGTAGATTTGTAAATCAGTGTTTCCTGTTTTTATTAGCATTTCAAAATACGGTCCCAACTTTTTTAAAATTGGGCTTGTACATGTCCAAGCCAAACACTTTAAGGCCATTTGATGAGGTTGTAGCATTACTGTTGATGTTGACTTACCTAGTTTCAGAAGCAGCTCCTGGATTCCATTTCCTTCCTTTTGTAACTGGTCTCTCTCTATAGTCAGGCTGGTGTATCTGGTCTGTAACTGGTCTCTCTCTATAGTCAGGCTGGTGTATCTGGTCTGTAACTGGTCTCTCTCTATAGTCAGGTTGGTGTATCTGGTCTGTAACTGGTCTCTCTCTGTAGTCAGGTTGGTGTAACTAGTCTTACACTGGTCTCTCTCTTTAGTCAGGTTGGTGTAACTGGTCTGTAACTGGTCTCTCTCTGTAGTCAGGTGGTTGAGTTTGACCCACAGCACTGTGATGGCAGCCAGCAGGAGAACACACAGCAGCCCCGGACACACTGCTGTCAGTCTGCTCCCTGTTTTCACAAACCCTATAAAAAGAAAGCAGCAATGCTTAAGTATCACAATATGTGCATGACTGTTCACACTTCACACTAGACACTAGACATGTCCAGTCTTAGCCATGAAGGGCCAGCGTGGCTGCAGGTTTTAATTCCAACAAAGCTGGAACACGTGATCAACTGTGATCAGCTGATTTAATGAGTAGAACCAGTTATGCTTCTGCTCGTCTGGAAGGAATCTATTCAAATCTAGCACTAAACCATTAGAATTAGCATGTGAGGGTGTGTGGATACGCACCTGAGCTCTGCCGTTCCTGGTTCGTTTTTGCTATTCGAGACCCCATTTGATCTCTTTTGATGTTTTCATACACAGTCCAGCCGTCATCTGAACCTGCTCTACTTGTTGGATTTTCATACAAGTTTGTTTCCATTCTGGGGTCTTCAGTTATCCTGCTCTTGGTGTGCAGATCAGCTCTGTCAGATGTCTCAGCTCCAAATAATACACTAAAATCTTCCGTTTTGGGACTGT